CCCCATGGAAGTGTTCATGTGCAGTGTGCTCAAGAGGCAAGGCTACGGCGAGGGCTTCCGCTGGCTCTCCCAGTATATTGACTGATGTATGGACAGTGAAAATAAAAGAGTTTTACTTCTCTGGACTGATCCTATTCACAACCTCCTCATGAACTTTTCTAATAGAACAAGGAAAGCTCTCCACAACCATGTCTGGCGTTGAGAAGCCAAGAGTCTCTGTCAGCTCTCTCTTCTCCCAGTGGTGACATGTGCTCTTCACACTGTCGGGAGGTCACGCTGCCCCATGTGCTGGTGCAGGTCAGCATCCCAGGACTTGGAAGCTGGCAGGATTTGCCGGGAAAAGCTGTGCGCCATCATGGGGCACCTGAACAGAAAAACACGTCTCACCACTGAGGTTGATTTCAAAAGAAAGCAATTCTATTTTTTAAAGAAAGTGTTGTTTATGTCATTGGTTTCCCTTCTAACTTTTTGAGTTTACAATTTACTTGGTCCAGAGTTTTCTATTCCTTTTTTTTTTTTTTAATCTAGTGAATGGCATTTAGATACTTCCTAAAATTATACAGAGGTACATGTTGGAGGCCAGAGCTCAGTCAAGTGAACTCACTCCTGTTGAGTTAGCAGTTGGTGGAAGAAACTCCCTGCCTAACTGCCTGGAGTAGGTGGCATCACCTTGGCACAGAGAACCGGAAAAGGGCAGGCCTGGCCTCGCAGTTGCAGGGTCCCACTGTGGCAAGCTGGGGCTCTTCCGCCTCACGGAGTGCATAGCAGATTGTTCACGGCAGGGGAGGTCATTATACAGTGGGTCATTGTTACTATCATTACCTATAAAGTTACAAATTTCAGCCAGTCTCCGCTTGGAATTGTGGTTTCATTTCTCTTTGTAGCACTTTTTTTTTCCCCAGTTATAGCAAGTGACTTTTGCCTCAAAATAGAGTTGAGACCATCTCCCATGTTGTCCTGTACTGCAAGTGTGTCAGTTACTTTTGCACAGATTTTAGGGGAATTTTTCTGAATAGGAGAGTCACATAGGACACAGGTTAGGGCTCTTAATTTTGTGATTTGAGAACTTAAAAATCTGGTATTATAGCATTTGGTTGAATCTGGGAAGGATTTACTCAGTGGACTATAAATTTTCCACTTGCAGCATTTGGTCTCTGGGCTTTTCATGAGCTTTTTTTTTTTCTTTTAAATCAGTTATCAATTTTTTTGGTGTTTAAGGATGTTTAAAGGTTAACATCTTTTCCAGAATTTTATTTTTATGACATTGCCTTTCTCCATTCCAGAAATAAGCTGGGGAAACTCGAATTCAAGAACTTCGTGTAGAGCTTTCCCTTCTGAGCCAGCATCACTTACTGTCAGCAAGCACTCAGTACAGAAGCCGCCACATCCCCAGCAGTGTGATGAGGACGGTGTTTATAGCTTTCCATTTCTTAATGCCATGGGTGAAATTGGGTTTTCTTGATCTTAACCAGTTTTCTACCCTTGCAGTAAAAGATGACAGGATGGGAGGTGGTCTTAAAATGGGAGAATATCTTCATTCATTTTTCCTTTAATGAAAAGTTAGAGGTAGTTTCCTCAAAATTGAAAAATTGTGATGATGATGCCGATATGCAGATGATTGAATTCAGTGGATTCTTGCTTACAATAAGAGGGTAGGGAAAGTGTGGATAACATATTTTTGGGGTGAGTGAGTATTGTTCTTCAGTTGGATTTCTTGTTAACGATGTCTTCAATACTATTAGGAAAACATACTTTTTCACTGCCAGGTACCAAATGCGGAGGCCCAGTGGAGTATAAGTCTGGAATGAGCATGACTTTCGTTTATGAGCAAGCATAGCTGGATTAAGACAGTTGTTGGTTTGGAAAGGGGTTAAAGCCTTAAGTGAACAAATCTAGCTAATGGTGAATTAACTTGCATACTTTTAATTTACTTTGGCTAAAGGTAATCTATCCTTCTCCATCCAGAGACATGAGAGTATGATCGCTTCAGTGTTAGTTTTCTTGTTTTTTTTCCTTCTCCCCTACTCACTTTGTAGCAAGCTAGAAAACTATGGATTCTGTGCAGGGCAGCTCTTTGTGAAAGTGGTTTATTTTGGCCACTGGAGAAAGGGGGGGTCGAAAAGCCAAGTGGCACCCGTCTGTGTGTTGCCCCCCCATACAACACTGTTCCAGTAGTAACAGCAGAAAGAAGCAGCTGTGAGGAGCGTGGCTCTAACAGTGAGGATCTGAGCTTTGGGCAGGAACTCCCATGAATTGAGACTTTTCATTCTGTTTTATCAGAGCGCATATAGGTCCTATTTCAGGAAAAGTAAAGCAGTCATTTACAAAAGAAAGTCAGTCTGTATCCTAAGCATTTTAATAAAAAGTTAAAACAAACTTGCTGTCTTTTTTTTTTTTTTTTTTTGCAGTGGTTTTGAGTTTGAACATTTCACAATATTTGTGCTGGGGAAAGCAAAGTTCTTTCCTACTTGTGGGAAGAAATATATACAATGGATGTGAGAGACTTAAATTTTGCTACGGGGGTGGGGGGGGGGCGGAAGGCTAAGCCAATTTACTCATTCCACTAGAAATAATGAATTTAGTACTGTTTGAGAGCCTTAGAACATGTGGTGGTGCCAGAGTTGGTGGTAATCTTTGAGACAGAATAGATGGGGCAGACTTTTGAACAAAATCTTGTATTAATATGCTAGCAAGGACTGGATCCATCTTTAGCTGTGTTTCATCATTTTATAAAAAATTGGAAAGATCCAGTTGAATGCTACATTTGGCAAAATAGAAAAAATGAAACCTTGTGCATTTACTAGGCTTGTAGGAAGACCTGCTTTTAGAAAATCCCAAATGAGATTCTAAAACTAAAGCGCCAGTATGAATATAATGGGAAACAAAGTGCAACAGCTTCTTTTAAAAAAAAAAAATTGATTTCAGAGAGGAAGGGAGAGGGAGAGAGAGAGAGAAACACCAATGATGAGAGAGCATCATTGACCTGCTGCCTCCTGCATGCCCCACATGGGATGGAGCCCGCAACCCAGGTATGTGCCCTGACTGGGAATCTAACCATGACCTCCTGGTTCAAGGGTCGACATTCAACCGCTGAGCCATGCTGGTTGGGCTCAACGGGTTCTTTTTGACCAAGTATTCAAATTGGAGGCATCCTGCGATTGAAACTGATGTCCATGTTCCTATGATAGGAGGCCATGGGTTCTATGTTCATGTGCATTTGTGTTGTTTGAGATGGAGTGGAACATGAGAAGTAAAGGCTGAGTCAGTGAGCCCAATACTCAAGGGGTCTCACCTTGACTGTTGGCTGTGACTTGGGACTCTACTGCAATGTGCCATCAACAGAAAAAACTGACATAGAACATGCTGGAGGCTTGAGAGACTAAGAATCACTGGACGAGAGAGAAAGAAACTCTTAATTGCTAGGAAGTTGGGACAGCTGAGAGATTTTGTTGCACTCAAGCATGTGTGTCACAGAACCAAAAAGAAAAGATGCTGATTTCAATCCTGCCTTATACTAAAATGGATCATCGTTTCCCGTTCTCAAAACAGCTTTGTTACTGGGAACACAGCATTACCCCGTGTTATTAGTTTTATTCAAAAATTTGAGACAGAGGTGTATTTTAGTAATTGAATACTTTTCATTAATGCTAACAAAAATGTCCTAAAATAAACATTAAAATGTGTATTTTAGAGATACGGTGATAAATGTCTAGCTTGTGGCTGCTTTGGGGATATCCTGAACCTTTTCCCCACAAACATATGCATGTTCCTTATCCTCAAAGATATTTCTTTGGAAAAGAAGGGATATTTTGTGTTTGCTTAGATCAAAGATGACAAACTATGCCTCCTGGGCTAAATCTGGCTTCCTGCCTATTTTTGGTCTATGAAGGAAAAATAGAATGTTATTTTGTGACATGAAAATTATATGAAACTCAAATTTAAGTGGCCATAAGTTTTGTTGGGACACAGACATCCGTTCCTTTGGGTTTTGCATGCTAGGACTGCAGAGTTGAGTATTTGAGACAATGTATGGCCCACAAAAACTGAACTGCACTCTGGCTCCTTACAGAAAAGGCATTTGGCCCCTGACCTACATAAATTCTAGGGGTTATGTGAAATGTGCATACTGTAAAATATAGGCTTATAAAATTAAAATTTTTTACTTCAGCCAGTGTACATAGTCCATTTTAAAGGGCACTTTTATTTGTAGCAAATTCAGCTTTCATGGGATTTGTAGTGTTGGGCTTTGTCATCAAAAGACACAGATGTGCCCAGGCAGTGTGGCTCAGTGGTTGAGCGTTGACCTATCAATCAGGTTAGGGTTCGATTCCCAGTCAGGGCACATGCCCGGGTTGCCGGCTCAATCCCCAGTGTGGGGCATGCAGGAGGCAGCTGATCATTGATTCTCATCATTGATGTTTCTTTCTCCCTTCCTCTCTGAAATAAACATATATATTTTTTAAAAAGACCCGATGTGCAATATTGAGCCCCATGCCCCCTAGTGGATTGCTATAGGGTTTACGTAACAAAAATTTAAAATATTGAAATGGCCAAGGATTTCTTTGCCTTATTATCCCCGTCAGTGGTCGAACGTCACCTCGACCTAGGCAGATGCTGACAGGTGCTGTCATGGCTTAGGAAAATCTAGCCACGTCAGCGCTCATTTCTATTCTCTTTCCTGAAGCCCAACGAAGAGACCAGACTAAGCTTCCGAGGGGACGGTCCGCCCCCTGCCCCTCCCACAATCTCGGTGTAGCCGCAGGCCAGTCACTTTCCTGGGGCTCATCCTACCGGACTGCTGTGCCGCTCAGGTGGCACGACCAACAGGGGAGGAGAAAGGGAAGCGTCGGCCTCCAGCAGCCAATCAGGGCTGGGCCTCGGGTCCAGCCAATCAAGGCTTGGCCTTAGGTCCAGCCAATCAGTGCTTGGCCCCGGGTCCAGCCAATCCCGGCCAGTGGGGCTCAGCCATTCGCGCCGGACGCGGAAGGCCGGAGTCCGTGTTTGCGTCTGTCGCTCCCAGCCCTGGGCGGCGCTGTGTGGGGTCTGCAGGTGCCGGTCGGGGTTCTTGCTAGCTCCCCGGTTCTCCGGGAAGCCGGGCGCACCGTCCCGGAGGCATGGGGCGACAGTGGGGGCCCGCCATGAGGGCAGCCGAGCAGGCGGGCTGCGTGGTGAGTGCTTCCCGGGCCGGGCAGCCCGAGGCGGGCTCCTGGAGCTGCAGCGGGGTGATCCTGAGTCGTAGCCCGGGCGTGGTGCTGTGCCATGAGGGCATCTTCATCCCCTTTTTTTCGGATTTAAGTTGTATGTTGACACTTTTTTTGGCGTCTTTTTTGTTTTGTATTTTTGACTTTT